GATTTTCATGGACAGTAAAAAAGTGAAAAAACATGTAATTTTGCAACTTATTTGCATTTTGCCAACTTAGGGTCACTTCTTTCGAGTTACTTTTTTGATATTATCATTCTTCATTCACAGAATTGTTGTTTTGTTGTTTTTTGTTCCTCTTTTGACGATCTGCAATTTAGGTTATATAAACTTTTCACACATTATTGTTAGTTGTTGAGTTATCGAACTAAATAAATAAAAAACAAGAACAAAGACAACTTTATAAAAATGCTCCGCCTTCATTTTGTACAAACCGAAATCAGAGTCGAACAAGCCTTTGAAGATGCGGACACTCTGATCGTAACCACCGCACTTGTAGAAGCATCAAAGTACGATTCGGTTGAAATCGTCGGTGAAGACATCGATCTCTTGATTTTGCTCACTGGACTAGCAAAGGACAAAAGAAACGTATACTTTCAAAAATCGGGAAAATGATATACACCAAGAACACTTTACTCTCGTTGGAGAGTAGTGTGAACCATAATAAATCCAAAAACATATTTTTCATTCATGCATTCAGCGGTTGCGATACCACCTCATCTTTGTTCAGCATCGAAATCGAAATGCATCAGCATATTGGAAAAACATACGGAACTTCTATCATCGATTGAATTATTCAAACGAGAACACGTCGATCCGGAGGTTCTGAAATCCACGAGAGAATGATTTCTCATTGCCCTATATGGCGGTGAGAAGCACAGCAAAAACCTCAATGCGCTACGATATCAACGCTACGCAAATTCTATTACCAGAACTAGATTCAATCTATTATCATTATCACTCCCACCAACAAAAAGCGCAGCACGACAACACATATTCCGCGCGTACCATCAGGTACAAGCTTGACTTGGGTTTTACAAGGATCCTGAGGGATGGGGTTGGCGAGGAACAGACCATGATGTAGAGCCGATTATTAATACGGTTGAACCTGCGCCACCCGAGCTTTTGAAGCTAATGTCTTGTAAATGCAAGGAAAAATGCGGAACTGCTTGTAGGTGCAGAAGAGCTGGCATTGCATGTTCAATCGTTTGCCGGAACTGCAGTGGACAAACATGCAACAACGTTGCCAAAGTCGATGTCCTGATCTGTGACAACGAATTAGATTCCGAAGATGATTCAACAGTCGGAGAAAATATGGTCGAAGAATCTCCACGTATCGAAAAGTATCCTGAACAGAAGGACTGTGAACCAGGGCCGTCGAAGAGAAGGAAGACGTAGATAGCTCTTCAACACGAAAACATTCTTGTATAATAAATTCCATATGTGTGAAACGTAATCTCACTGTGTTAGTTCTTTATTTCGAATCCATTACAACGTACATACCTATAAAACCGCCCAAGCTATAAAATAAAAACTTCGTACGGACTTGCCGACTTCGCGACACGATAGAACCCGCAATTATTACCCTCGAGAAAGAACAAGAGCAGAGTATTAAATTATTCGTACGAATATCCTCTACAAGTTTGATAATATACATTTTTTCGATAAGTATTAAGGAAAAAGAGAAAACCCCGAAAAACCAGATCGAATCTTTGAATTTTTATCTATTTTGTTCGATATTTCAACAGCTAACAATAATAGGTGAAAAGTTTATAAGACTTAAATTATAGATAGTCGAAAGAGGAACAAAAAAGGAGAAAACAACAATTCTGTTATCTCGACGAGGAACCGATACCAAAAATAAAAATTCACCCCTTTTTCCAAGATGGCGGAAAATGCACATGGGAAATCTTGGTCTCAAATCTCAAGTTAAGCTTTTCTAAGCACCCTCCACAACATTTAAAAAATTTGGCTTTCCCGGTTCACTTTCTTTTCTTCGGTTTATTTTTGGACAGAATGACTGGGGTATGAAGTTTTCACAGATTTTATTTATGCTATAGCTCTATAGGCTACGTCCAAAGTATTATTGGTTTTAAAATTATATTAATATAGGTAATAAACTTATCGACCTAGGATACAGAATACAGAAAATCAATAATAGTTTGAACAAAAATTTTAAAGCTCTCGGTTATTATTTATATTCTCATTTTTTCTTCCGAACACATAACTTATACGACTATAATAGGGTAAACGGTTATTATAAGGTTAAGACTTACTATTAATTTCTCTCGTTTTTCTGGCCCACGGCTTATAAGTAGATAAAGGAGTTATATATCTTTCTTTCCTGTATGTACACTGTTTATAGGGGTATAGGGCAAAATAATAAAATTTGTGTTATTTTTTTGACCTGGGAAAATCCCATTTCTACAAGATTCAATTTTCATTTTTACGTTAATTTTTCTTTTCAATTTACGGTGGCTATATCTCAAGAATTTATAAAAAATATTCTTATACATTTGGCGCCTTGTTAGTCGTTTGGGGGCCTATCTTCCAAAATAAGTCGGGTTTTGCCGAGTTCCTGACCTGGCCAGAACGGACCTGCTCGCACTTGCAGTTAAATTTCACACCTTAATCTACTCGCCATCGCCCAAGATTTGGAGTTAATTGCGGAGCAAACCAATGTACGTCTTATTATTATACAGTGTCCCCCTAAAGTCGTGCACAAATTCATTATTAGGTAAACAAAAGAAATTATTAAAAATTCCCGAAACAGGTCGATTTTTGAATTTAATTTACTATTTTTTCAAATAATAATTTAATATACAGGGTGACCTATGTTCGGATTGCCCTAACTGAGCTGATTCCAAAAATATACCACAAGTTGCTTCTAATTGTTACAGGGAGGGCAACAATACCCAAATTATTTACAAATACTAAATTTATTTACAAATAAATAAACGTACTAAAAATTGAATCAAATCACAACATATCATTTTAAAATGTCATTATTTTTTGCTATAATTTCTTTGATGCTTTTTTAAATTTATCTGCCTGATAGAACGTGCTCGTGTATTTCTTGCAGGCAATCATTTTTAAATAGTTTGTTAAGATTGTACAAGTAAATCCATATTGAATTATTCTTCCTTAAAATATTGAGTATTTTTTAATTAATTAAAAAACATGATTCTAAGTGAAACCGAATGGATTGAAATTCTTATGATGATCGGATATGGTGATAGAATTCGAACTCATGAGGAAGTTTGTGTTTTGTTTAATGAAATTCATCCCAATCGTCCACCAATAAATCGATCCACGGTTAGCCGAACTGAAGCAAAGTTTCGAAATCATGGTCATATTAAAGATATGCCCAGATCTGGCTGACCGACTGTAGATGAAAAATTGCAGTTACAAGCCCTTTTGACCATTCATGAAAACCCACAATCCAGTCTGAGAGTCGTAGCAGATAATTTAGGAATGAGTGAAAGTACATCGAGTAGATTTCTTCACAGAAACAAGTATCATCCCTACAAAGTCCACTTAGTACAAGAATTATGTGACAATGATTTCGACAGACGCACAGAATTTTGCGAAATGATGATGGAAGAATGTCAGGCAGATCCGGATTTTGTGAAACGCATAATTTTCTCCGACGAGGCGTCTTTTTATTTGAATGGCACCGTCAATAAACAGAATTGTCGGTACTGGTCAGATCGCAATCCACATTGGATGATGGAAGCACACACTCAGCATCCCCAAAAGGTCAATGTTTGGGCCCGAATTGTTGGTAATCGAATTTTGGGGCCGTATTTCTTTGAAGGAAATTTAGATGGTGCAAGATATTTGGAATTTCTTCAGTTCCATTCAGTTCCTTCCTTGAGTGTTCTATTTCCAAATGAAGAAGATCCAGATTTGCCCAATGAAACCATTTGGTTTCAACAAGATGGTGCACCACCGCACTATACCAGCGCTGTTCGCCGCTATTTAGATGATGTCTTTCCTCATCGGTGTATTGGCAGAAGAGGACCTAAGGAATGGCCCGCCAGATCACCAGATTTAACACCGCTCGACTTTTTTTTTGGGGGTTATGTAAAAAGCAAAATATACGTCAATAAACCAAATAGTATTAACGATCTGAAGGAACGAATTCGGCAAGAAGTTCGAGCGATCCCGCCTGAAGTCATTGGGAATGTACAGCAAGAATTTACTTCCCGTCTGGCCCATTGTTTGGCAGTAAATGGTCAACAATTTGAACATTTAATTTAGGTGTTTCTGGCGATTTGATTCAATTTTTAGTACGTTTATTTATTTGTAAATAAATTTAGTATTTGTAAATAATTTGGGTTTTGTTGCCCTCCCTGTAACAATTAGAAGCAACTTGTGGTATATTTTTGGAATCAGCTCAGTTAAGGCAATCCCAAAATTGGAAAAAAAAGTGGGGTGTTCCATTTAAAAAAAATTGTGATGACGTCATTTCTCGAACATAGGTCACCCTGTATATTAAATTATTATTTGAAAAAATAGTAAATTAAATTCAAAAATCGACCTGTTTCGGGAATTTTTAATAATTTCTTTTGTTTACCTAATAATGAATTTGTGCACAACTTTAGGGGGACACTGTATTCCCACTAGGACCGGACATTCTTATTTTTTACTTCTTTATAAAAATTACAGTCTGGAATCTTTCACTTTTTAACACTGATGGGTCGATGGACGATGCTTAATATTTAATAATTAAGTGAAATCAGTCGACTGCACAAATTTTTTGACAATGTAACCTAACCTTTTTTTAGTATTACTAGTATTAGATTATACCGACTTAAATTATAAGGTTGCATCTCGGGTCGCATAAAAACATTTCCAAAGTTTTTAATAAATAACACAGGGTCGGCCTTCATTTTTGTCGATTAAATTAACTTTAATTTACAAAAAAAAAAAACGCGAAGATATAACTTTTTCGTATAAAGACTTTTCCATTACAAATATCGTTAGGAAGCTGTAGTTTAATTTTTATAGATTATAAACGCCACACCCTGTGTAAAACATCCATCCCGAAACAGATACCGACTGGGCTACTAGTATTTTTGTCACAAACAAAACCTGATTGGCTTAATTAATTAATAAACTGATCTTTACAAAAGAAAAGTTTCATGTATTGTTCGTTTCCACTTTATTGTTTTATTGTTTTAACATGCAATAAAAACAATACATATTTTTAATAGTAAAAAACTGAAGGAATGGGCAACACTGCACTAGGACGTCGAAGACCTATTTAAAATAAATGCACATGCTTACCTCTAAATATTAAAAAAATTTCAACATGAATGTCACTTACAACATTTAATTCAGTTCTGTACATAAAAATGGTTAAGTTACGTATTTAAAACATTATAATATAAAAATTACTTATTACCAGGTAGTTCTAAAATTCTATAACGTAGATGTGGATGACAACACAACGATAACATGCATTATCAAGTCATCGAATGTGATAAGAAAACTGCTTCCTTGACTCTAAAAAAAACTTAAAAACTAAGGCAAATATATTACAAGGTATCTGATGTCGAAGATGGTTCTTCACGTAAATGTTCACCTTTCTCATCTATCGTTATATCACTGAGAGCATCGACGTCCATAGGCGTCTCCAATTTACTAATGATTTGTCTAACCGGCTCTCCTTCTTCGATATTAGCTTTATTAGGTTCTGGCAGGTTATCAGAAGTTTTTTCCTCGCAAGTGTCCGATTTCGTATCGGCTTCTTTTAAGGGCTCCGAAATTTGTTGATGAGTATTAGACAATCCTGAAACATGTTCCGAACAACTAGAAGTCTTCAAAGTTGATTCATCCACCTCATTCTCTTCCAGAAATGTACTCGTTAGTGCACTGGTCACTTTTTCAGTTTCCTCTTTATCTTCAGACCATTCATCTTCTTTTGAACAGACTTCGATTTGAACCTCTTGAGGTTGCTCTGGAATTTTCTCATCTGGTTCTTCTATGCCTTGAGGAAGAGTTTTATACTTTTCTGGAGTGATATCGACCTTCAATGTCCCCGCAGATGCAGAACTATTTTCTGGTGAGATATTCTCCATATCAGGTTGGTCCTTCGGTAGTTTTTCTTCAGAATGTTCCTCAATTTTCGTGTCTGCCAAGACCTCTACATGCTCTGGACAAAGAGGATGTGACAAAACTGCTTCTGTTAATGGATGGATCTGTTTGTCTTCTTCGGGTGTTTTCTGTTTTTCATCTTCGGTCTGCAACAATAGTTGAAAAAAATAAGGTAACACAATGCTTGGACCATTTTAACTATTATTCGTCTTTAACTCTTTCGCTACGCAATACATCTGAACGTAGCTACCGCGCTGTGCGCAAAAGTTTACTGCGTGCGAATAATACTTGTGTGGAGCAATTAGACTACTTATATTTTTACATTATGTTGTGTTAAATTAAATTAAAATATGTGTAAACGTTTCAAAATAATTGTAATAGTTTAATTATTAATATTTTATTATAAAGCAGAAACTGAAAGAGATACGCAATCTTGGCATTATTACCAGTACCTCCTTGCATAAAAATAATTGCCACAATCGCTATAAGTTCCGCCCACAAAAATCCCCTATACTGATTGCAACAACCGAGTCACTAATGCGCATGGTTGCGAATATATACGGTTTGCGCAGCGTGATCCAATTTAACTATTCAAGCAAATTAATTCGTCTGGAGCAGTTTGAGTCCTATAAATGTTTAGCGAATAAGTCTGGAGCAGTGAAAGGGCTAAATATTAAGTAATCTATTTCTATTATTATTGGAGCTGTCATAACTGTCCCTGCACCAAAGACGTGCGGATCGTCAACATAAAATAAAGTGAACAATGGTTATCTTTATGTCACTGTATCATTGTGAAACATGTAAATTGTTTTACGCATCGTTACCATCGGCTTCACAATCTGGATGAGATCTGTTATAGATCGCATCATCAGGTATGTTTCTCCCCTTGTTTCAGCGAAACTTACTTGCGGCACACAGTGCGGAAAAACGGACAAAAGTGTCTGTAAGACATAAATTTCGAAAAAATCTTGATAATTTTTCTTTTAAATTACTAACAGACACTTATTCTACATGTGACCCTGCGACCCTTTGGTTTTTATGATTTTAAGGTTTGTGGATTTAGGTTTTAAGGGTTAGGGATTTATGGGTTTGAGTTCTATAGGTTAGAGATTTGTGGTTTTGGGTTTTATGGGTTGGGTTTGGGTTTGTAGGTTTGGGGTTTGTGGATTTAAGATTTGTGAGTGGACTAAAGTTTTTGTATCGTGTTGAACCCAAGTGAACTTGCAAAATACTTTGATGATTCGTATAATACCACATGAAAATTTCCTTAGTTTAGGGTGTGGTAAAAAAAATTATCAAGATTTATCGAAATTTATGTCTTACGGACACTTTTGTCTGTTTTTTCCCACTGTGCAGCGGTGATAAAATATCTTAACCTAAAGAGAACGACCGTTCGACATCTACTGATGTAATATTTGCATAACTAAATAGTCTACGTCTAAGCTGGTCCGACATGGTAATTTCCACTCTGGGTTGTATTTATTCCAGAAGGAATGAAATGTTGTATTCTTTACTATGTCAAATGGTAGAATACATGCAATCAGTATGAGGATTAAAATTAAACATTAAACATAAAGTGAGTATTTTGGTTTTTGCCAGTTGTTTTTATGTGTTGTACACGATGGCCCGATGACAACATGCATTTGAAATAACACATGTTGAATGCTGCTTTGTTGGACAAATTTACTACTGATAAAGCAGTGGTGCTGACCTGAGTGCATAATTTATTACTCCTACTCTTTTTATTAATTTTATGAAAAAAATAAAAAATCAAATTATTAAACGAAGGAAGTAGCTTAAATAGGTACTTTTCGGAACTCATTATATTCCTTTACTTTCATAAAATTGTTTTCTATTCCAAAAATTATATCTCTGTTTTCCACCTGAATAGTTAATAACACAGGCCGTCATTTTAACCCAACAACAGGAATATACTTTCCCAAAGGATATTGGTGAGCTAAATTCGAAGATATCACAACCTAAAAGTGCCAAAATCGCGATTTTTTGACATATTTGAGGTTATATTACGTGGAAAGGTACATTTTTGCTGAAATCATTAATCTGCCCTACTTCAGAAAAAGATCGTATGTGCAGTTTTGTGACAAATTGAGATAATTACATTTTCGAAATCTACATCGCATTATACCCATCTATAAATATCAAAAATATCGTTTTTGTCTCTTTAAATTTAAAAATTTGTATGTTTTAAATTTCTAATATTGCATCACTCTTATTTTCTTCGTCACAATACTAGAAAAAAACACAGTATGTATCTGATGCAGACTTATGTGCATGTATTGCATTGAGGTACACTGTTTTTTAACAAATTAAATTCATGTGTCCGCATGCGTTGTTTTAAATTAAACAACAATTAACATTATTTGCAACATAATATATTAAAAATTGTAAAATATCCTGAAAAGCATCCAAAATATCATGTATACGATGTACATGTTCTGGTTCTTCTATTAATTTCTATTGAAAATGTAGCACATACTGAACATATGGCATTTTTACCTAGCAAAATCTTAAATTTATTAAGACAAAACAACATATGTGATGCTGTTTTTATTGAAATTGCAATGTTTTCTAACATTTTCAAATTACATTAAAAAATATACTTAGTGTTTTTCATTTGCCATTACCGAAAAAATCAAGTTATTACCTTAATTAGTAAATGAATTACAGCCAAATTAAGTATGCCTAATATCTCATTGCAATTTTCTCTAAACAGTCATTATGTGCACATACGGTCTTCTTCCAAAGTAGGGCAGTAATGGGGTCTTAGATTGACTTATTTCTCGATTTTTGAACATACTCACAACATGGCACAACAAACCTTATGGGTTTATGGGCTTAGGGTTAATGAGTTCGAGATTGAGCGTATTAACCTTTTTTGCGTGTAAATGTATTTCCAGATTGATGTAATGTGTAAATTATCGGCCATATATCGAATTTTTAGACATTTTTTCTAAGTTTATTGGAAAATTTGACGTGAGAGTATTGCGTGCGTTTTAAACAGTAAGTATAGTACTTAAGACCCCATTAACGGTTTTAGCAAAAAAATATAACCTATCCATGTAACATATCCTCAAATATTTAAAAAAATCGTAACTTTTAGGTTAGGATATCTCGAAAACCAAAGCCAATTGAGAGATTGAATTCGGCGTACCAAAATCCTACAGAAAAGTACATTCTGGTTTCTGGGAGAACGGTGACTAAACCAACAGGCGGGCAGCTCACGTGGCTGACTGACGGCGCCAATGGCTAGCGGACCGATTGTGACAGCTCTATCTATTATTAAGTTCTTTTATACATTTGCATAATAACTAAATCAGAAAAGAAACCTACTTCAGACATAAAATACCTTGTATATTTACATAGCAGCAAAAATTGATAATTACTGAAATACTGAAAATACAAGACGAAAACAATATTAAAACATTTCATTAAGAAAAATTGCTCAGAATAATTGATGTTTATTCCCTTGCTCCAAATCATCTAATTGGCCCAACTATTCTTGTGTAAGCACTCTTTTTGAGTAAAAGATATTAATTTTGCGGCAATCGGTAAATCAAAAAATATATAAGTAATCATTTTCAAATTTGGTATATGGATATGAATAATTGTAATAGTGGATAACGCTCAATAAAATTTTTCGATACTCGTATCTTATATGAAAAAGACACTTTACTATTGAAAAATAATTCTTCTGCTCCTGATAAGGCCTATTTAATTTTTCAGAAGAAATATTATACACATTACTTTTTAAGTATGCACGATCAGTTTCAAATTGCGAAATTTCACATTGATAATTTTTTGTCATTTACGTTTTGTACAGGCAATCTACAAAAATGCTGCATGCAAAAATATCTAATTTTATCAGAATGTAGGTATGTCACTGAATAATATTTACTCACAAATAAGTTTTCTTTAAAATCCTGTTCTTTATCACTTCTACTTTCGGAAGTTTCCACTCTCTCCATGCTATTTCTTCTTTGCTGAACGCCAGCTGGTAAGGCAGTGATGCTAAGTGAATTATCTGTATGATTTTCATCAGTATCTTGAGAAGTAGAACAAGTGTTTGGGGCCACGGGTTCTATGGATACATAAGGATGTTGCGTTTCACCAACAATCGAACAGGAAATTATTGTTTCTTGTGCATCATCTAGCTGGGATTTTGTGGCGGTAGTACTACTTGATGAAATTTCTAAAATTAAAAAAATCCTTTTTAGTTTTATTCAGTTTTTTGTAGTAAGTGAGTAGGAAGCCACATATCATAAAATAGGCACAAAATAGATCTACAACTAATGAATCGGGCGAATTTATATCCCCTCTCTTCCTAAGAAAAAAACCAATGTATATCTGTATTTAAAAAATCTACTTTTCGTTGGCATTCTGAAATCTAGTTTTAATAACTTTTGGAGAAAGTATATAGCAGTGAAGTTAAAGACAGTGGGAAATATCATTTTTCGCACAATATTTTGTTGTTAGCATCCATAATAGACATTTAATAACCGTTGAAGAAAATAATTTATAATGATATTAAGGAAAATAGGGAATGCCATTTTTTATATCATATTTTGTAGTTAGCATTTACAATACATGTAAAGGGGGTTCTCAATGTAAGTGCACAAAAATTGATGGTAAACTCCTTGGCGGTTTTTAAGCAGTGTATGGCTTTTCTATAGTTTTCGGTTTCAACACCCTGTATATATAGATCACATAACAGGCTTGCCTATATTCAAAATGTGAAAAATATACTATACTATAAATATACTATGACCTTTTTTTTAGTTAAAAATATTTAAGATTAAATATATTTAAAATTAAAAAATATAAAATTGGTATTCTGAAAGTTAATTAATTACAATTAAAAATTATGATTTTAAATTCAGTGCAAATATGACATGGTGTTCCAAATAAAAACATAACATTTTGATAGATAGGTTGTAAACAGGGCTGGAAAATCCACATAGTCCATCTGCCTTTACATGAGAGCGATAAAGTAAAGTAAAGAAATCCGTGCGATAGGCAAGGATGGCTATAGTGAAGACATTTCATAATCTGAATAGTCATCGCACGTTTCGGGTTAGAAGTGGGAGTGACTATTCAGATTATGAAACGTCTTCAATGTAACCATCCTTGTCTATCGCAAGGATTTCTATGACTTACTTTATCGCTCTCACGTATCGACCGATGTACCATGGGGACTTTCCGAACCTGAATATAATTTTCAATGGCTTTTAATTAATGTACATTAATCAACATAAAGCTGTTACTAGGAGAATCATAACAATATGTATTAGGGTACTTTTAATTCGGTAAAATGTTGAAATTCATACATACCATCTATTTTTAGATCAGAGCTATTTTGAAAAATCTGTTGTTCTCGATTGTGGTGTATGTCAGTTGACTGATTTTCAGCATTGGTGGTTTCAAATAATATTGGAGCCATTTGCGCTGTTCTGGGCCACGATGGTGATTCATCCATTTCTTCAACATTAATGTCATGGCTAGAATTACTTGATTCTGGTAAATGTTCTGATTCTATACCATTTACGATGCCCTCTCCGTTTTCTGTAGACCTTCGACCTGGTTCTGTAGTACTAACAACTAATATATTTTTCTCTAATGCTCTCATGTATTTATCTATTCTATTGTATTCTTTCCTCGGTGTAGTTAAAAGTTCGCATATTCTCTGAACAGTAAAAGGTGCAGAAGCGAAAGTATCTAACTTTTCTAGTATAAAATTTTTCATGAGATCATAATTAAACATTTCTACATTAGGACATGGTGGAATTTCCACAGATGGGCAAGACTCGTAGAATTCAGTAATAACATTCAGTAATTTCTCTCGAAAAAGACTTTTTATTGTCTGCCACTGATAAACTGGGTTACCCGTTTTTGCAACAAAGCAGAGATATTCTTCCAATTCGCGAGGTATATCTTTAGGTTTCATCTTCGAAAACTCTTCTAGGCTGTGTAATATTTCTTCAGGATTTTCCATAATTTTAGAATGCACACTTAACTATAAATACAAAAGATAAATAACGAGCGTACACATCAATCACCTCAAATAATCATTTATTGTTTTCGTCAGTTGTCAATTGTCATTTGACATTTGATATGCATGGAACCACGTATATATTTGAAACACAGAATAACAGAATAGCATTATAGGAAAATGCATGAAGACTACCACAGTACACACACAGTAAGTTTACTCTTTTAACAAAGTTATTAATTATCACGTTCCCTTCGCAAGTAATATAGGACTTTGTATCATATCTCATAATTATTTGTAAATACGATAGGTTGATATAAAAGTTCTACTTTACTTTAAAATCAGCAGATTTTTTTGTAACACGATTTAATAATAATTATTATTTATTATAGGTAGGCCATTAAAAATAACGAATACAGCGAGTGTGAAAAACAGATTTTATAATCATCAAACGCGCCATTATTCCATGGCTAGAAATTGGCCTCAATGATTTGGGATCGAGGGGATTGTCGCTCTTTATCTTCCACGGCGTGGGGTCACGCGGCAAAAAGCCACTTAAAGTCATTACAGGCTGTGGAAAACATAGCCCTCCGCACGGCCACCGACGCGCCCTGGTACGTAAGAAACACTGACATATTACGAGACTTACAATACACAAACGCTACACAGACAATAAGACAAAACGCGGAGAAACGATTTGACGTAGCCGCTAGACATGACAATCCCCGCCTCAGGCAAGCCGTTGACTACGTACCCGACGTGACCGACAAACACAAAAGACCTAGACACCAACTTTTTGACCCTGGGTGACCACCCCAATGACCCCCCCCCCTGCCCGCTAACCTTTTCTGTTTCAGAGACAGCCAGGATCAAGAAACGAAGACAACGACACACACACACACATACACACCCCCCATTCCCTCCTTAACCCTCCCCTCCCGCGCTAGCCTAAGGGCCACCTTAGCAAAGCGCATCCCAGGCTGCATAGCCGCACTACCCTACCCAACCATACCACACATAAACATGACACTACCCCCGGGGTTTACACAGACGAGCCGGCGAAGCAAGAAGAGCGCCAGAAGAAAGGGCCCTAGCCGGCGGGGCCCAGCCAGGACAAAAGGAGGTCCCACAAAGCGCCTACACCGGCCGCATTTGCGGTCGGGGTAGACGACGGATGGGGCCCACCTACGAAGGCTGTCCAGGCCTACACGAGATGAGGCAGGATAAAGAGGGATAATCCCCCTCGATCCCAAATCATTGAGGCCAATTTCTAGCCATAGAATAATGGCGCGCGCGCTCTTTATCTTTCCTCGTCTCGAGTAGGCCTGAACAGCCTTCATAGGTGGGCCCCATCCGTCGTCTACCCCGACCGCAAATACGGCCGGTGTAGGCGCTTTGTGGGACCTCCTTTTGTCCTGGCTGGGCCCCGCCGGCTAAGGCCCTTTCTTCTGGTGTTCATCGTTGCGGGCGCATGTAGCGGTGCCATTCGCGCCATGGGGGTGGATTTTTGGGAGTAGCGTGGTCGTTAAAATGCACGCGACCATAGAGCCAAATGGCTGGGTGGGCTGGTACGAGGTAGGATGCGTTTAGGTGGGACGGGTTTGGTCATTGTCTCTTCTTTGCTGTATTTGGTCCTGGCTGTTCTTGAAACTTTAGGGGGCGCGCAGGGGTGAGGGTAGAGGTGTTGTGATGGTTACCACGGGTCGAGAAGGGGGGTAGAGGTGTTATAGTGTGGTTCCGGGTCGGGAAGTTGGTGTCTAGGCCGTTTGTATTTGTCTGGCGCGTTGGGTATGTAGTTAACGGCTTCCCTAATGACGAAAGGATTGTCGATTTTTGTGGCCGCGTCAAAGCTCTTTTCGGGGTTTATTCGTATTGTCTGGGTGGCGGGTCGCGTATAATGTCTGCGTTTCTTACGTACCAGGGCAAAACGGTTCTCCACAGCCCGGCTGGCCTAATTATAGCGTCCTTGCCTTGACTGATTGGGTCATAACAATCTTGCCTAAACTTAATGAGGTTCTACTATTTCGTAACTTGAATTGACCTTCAAAGAACCTTCAAACTTGACCTCTAGGTTATGGTCAAGGTCATCATCGTATAATCCCATCAAACCATAAAACTTTCAACCATAATCTTTTTTCGTAGGTCCCGAAAAATATCCCATATTTTATTCAGAATCTTATTTGAACCTAAAATAACCCTTTAGGATCACTTTGACGCATAACATAAAGACAGATCTGAACGTAAAATTTTTCGCTCTATCCGTTTCCGGTGATCTATCATATCTAAAAATCCAAGTTGACCAGGGCAAAACGGTTCACCACAGTTCGGCTGGCCGAATTATAGCGATCTTGCCATGACTGATTGCGCTATAGACGACATTAATTTATTTTGAAAATTGAATAACTAAATTCAGTCTGTCCTAAACTTGGCGTCTTTCACTTTCATCGCGCCACGCGCCATTATTCCATGGCTAGAAATTGGCCCCAATGAATTGGGATCGAGGGGGATTATCCCTCTTTATCCTACCTCATCTCGTGTAGGCCTAGACAGCCTTCGTAGGTGGGCCTCATCCGTCGTCTACCCCGACCGCAAATGCGGCCGGTGTAGGCGCTTTGTGGGACCACCTTTTGTCCTAGCTGGGCCCCGCCGGCTAGGGCCCTTTCTTCTGGCGCTCTTCTTGCTTCGCCGGCTCGTCTGTGTAAACCCCGGGGGTGGTGTCATGTTTATGGTTGGATAGGGTGATGCGGCTATGCAGCCTGGGATGCGCTTTGCTAAGGTGGCCCTTAGGCTAGCGCGGGAAGGGAGAGGTAAGGAGGGTATGGGGTGTGTGTGTGTGTGTCGTTGTCTTCGTTTCTTGATCCTGGCGGTCTCTGAAACAGAAAAGGTTAGCGGGCAGGGGGGGGATGTTGTTGGAGTGGTCACCCAGGGTCAAAAAGTTGGTGTCTATACTCGACGGCCGAAATTATAAAGAGTGACTAATATATAATATAAAAACATTATTACCATAATGCGTATAAAAAATATAAAATGATTTCTATACGGTTCAATATTATTTATCTTTGTGCCGCTCGCCATGCACATCGGTAGAATCTATAATCGTGTATAGACTGAATTACACTGAACGTCGATCTATATTTTATCTCTGTCTTTTGCACTTGGTAGGGAATAGGGAAATGCTTTTTTAGTGGGTGTAAACGGACTTGATTTGCCCGACCTGAGAAACGTCATAGCATAAGCGTAGACGAGGGATCTAATTCCATGGCTATAATAAATTTATAAATTAAAAAAACACAACTGGGACGTTTTAAAATGCTGTAATAATTAAAATTGACCAAAGTGCCGGTTATAGCAAACCGTAAAAAATATTAGATGTTATGTTTTATTATGTTTTTTCAATATTTTCTATATCTTGTTGCCTTTTACGCAGACACGCCAATGGATTTTCGTTCCCGGCACGCTTCATCCCCCTTACTAGTCCAAGAGCTAGCGATCAATCACTATCTATAATTTTGGCCGTCGAGTATAGATCTTTTGTGTTTGTGTGTTTGTGACGTCGGGTACGTAGTCAACGGCTTGCCTGAGGAGGGGATTGGCATGTCTAGCGGCTACGTCAAACCGTTTCTCCGCGTTTTGTGTTTTTGTCTGTCTAGCGTTTGTGTATTGTAAGTCTCGTAATATGTCAGAGTTTCATACGTACCAGGGCACGTCGGTGGCCGTGCGGAGGGCTATGTTTTCCACAGCCTGTAATGACTTTAAGTGGCTTTTTGCCGCGTGACCCCTCGCCGTGGAGGCGTAGGTTAGCTGCGGTTGAAGTACCACCTTGATAAGCGTTCGCTTATTCCTTAAACTGAGGGTGTCTCCACCTTTGAGTTAGGGATAGAGCCTAGCCCTGGTGGTCTTCGCTCGCGCCACCGTCTCCACGATGTGTCACTTTCATCGATAAAACCAACAATTTTTTAAGTTTTTATTTATTATATTTTTTAATTAAAATAATCTTATTACATAGTTTATTAAACACAAAATACTACAAATATTTTTTTCACAAAACAAAAATTTTAGTAAGTCGTAGACTAGTCGTTATACTTAATAGAAATTTAAAAAGTGTTTATAGCTCTGCCCCCATGGTTGTGTTATTCTTTTTTGGATTTTTAATGGTTACACTAATTAGTTGGTCTGTGGTTACAATATAAGAAAGAGAATTACTTCTATACATATTTCTCCGGTATACTTTTAAAAATATTTTAAATTACAATGGCCCGTTTTTCTAATAAGTTTCAGTTCTTTTCGTTTTCAATTTAAATGGACAACTTCAAAACGAAAGAAAGACAGGAAAAAATGTTACCCGTCGTCAACTACCATAACTTTGTCCTAATTTCACTGACCTTGTAGGTATCTGTTAAGATAACCCATAGTGAGACCCAAAGCTTTTTCCAGAATGTGTGACCTCTTGTTTAAATACTACCTACTTACTGATATTACTATACGAGTATATATTTAATTAGGTATTTAACTACAAATACTACTGGATTTTTTTATTTACAGGTCTCTCCAACCGAATTAGAAAATTTAATTTTGGACATAGAAGGCATCATAGATGCGGCAGTTGTTGGCATTCCCGATTCTCTAGCGGGTGAAGTTCCAAGAGCTTACATAGTGAGGAAACCGGGTGTAAATATAAATGAAGATGACATACAACGTTTAGTGAATTCTAAAGTAACACATTATAAAAAATTAGTTGGTGGTGTTAAATTTATCGAGTCTATACCAAGAAATTCCAGTGGAAAAATTATCAGAAACGAATTAAAATATAGTAATTATTAATAACACTGTTAATAATTTTACATTAAAATATAATTATCACTATTTAATTTTTTTTGAAAAGTACCTAATTCTCATCTGAAGTGGCCATTAAGGAGGAGGGTGGTGGGCTACTTACCAGATCTCCTGAGAAGTTCGGTAATAGTTAAAAGCACAAGAACATTAGGTACAGAGTTATTGCATTCCACTTTATAAGTACTAATGCTAATTATATTAAAGAAAAAGGAATCAATAATGTTAATTTAAATATACAGGGTGTTTTTGAATGGAGTAGCATAAATGATACCAGTGAATCTACATTTCAAAAGAACACGATTTGCAAAAAATCGCCTTAGTAAAATGTTCACCCCTGAAAAGATATGGGCCATCAAAGTTTTTAAAAAAATTATGAAAATTGGCTGTAATTTGAAAACCGAACAAGGTACAAATAACAAATTTTTTACAGGTTGTTTACTAATACAGATGCGTGGGACTGAAACCAAAGATGTCACACTGGTTGTATACGTCGATAGTAAGACCCAGGATTCTTTACGGCGCGNTCGGGGTAGACGACGGATGGGGCCCACCTACGAAGGCTGTCCAGGCCTACACGAGATGAGGCAGAATAAAGAGGGATAATCCCCCTCGATCCCAAATCATTGAGGCCAATTTCTAGCCATGGAATAATGGCGAGGCCTTCAAAGTTGTCAAAAATAAAACTAATTTAATTAATAACTTCATATAACCCTTTTACCGATAGCGTTAAAATTTAGGACATTTATTTGGACTATTATGCCATATTATTTCTTAAATAATCAAATCGATATACTACGGTGACCTCTCCCTTTTAGCTGTCAAAACTTTTACAGTGATCGTATATTTTTAAAACGGGCAGCAACATTGAAAAAATCGCTTAGAGAAAGCCATTCTTGAGAAAAATTGCATTATTTGCAGGTGTGTATGTTTCGGTTTGCGTAGCAGTGTCACGGATTTAAAATTTGTGGTGAGTAGGTATAGTCGATGAAAACAAAATGTGGCTATCAGGTAATGTCATTATTGTCGTGTTTCTTTAGGATTCTTGTCACACCACACATGCAAATTATGAAGTGTCCGCAATGTATCAAGACAATTAAATGTATGTAAAACTAATGTTTACAAAACTTAAAAAAAGCAACTTCTTCGGCCATTTCATATAACTCCTGCTCAAGAACTTGAAAATTTAGATCCCAACGCTCACTTACAATTTTGCCGCTGGTTAGTGCATAAATAGCTTCGCAGAAGATAATAATTTGCTTAAAATTGTTTTGTACCGCGCCGTTATTTTTGTCGTTAAACGTGGCCTCGATAATTTGGGACCGAGGGGGACTATCCCTCTTTATCCTGCCTTATCTATGTAGGCCAATGATATTTATGATTACTCGATCCCTATACCTTCAATGTTAGCCGTTTTCCCACTCTTCCGTGATGTCATCGCGGACCTGGATGTGTAAGAAGCTTGTCAATATATATTAAAATCCTATAGCTCCGTCTGCGTCGCACAATCGCCCCGAAAAAGAGCCGATTTGCGTTGGGGTCAGCTCCTCCGGGGTGTCGCGTCTGTAGGGTCGCGGCGAACCGTTATTTTACCTTTCTAGGTCTTTTTTAACCTTGATACATTGTTACGTCACGACATATACAGGTATTTCTTATTATTAGGTTAGGTTGTTATTTACATTTTCGTAGCTCTACCGTCTGACATGCCTACGATTAGGATACCTATCCCCCAAATAACGGAAGTACTTGACCTCTAAAACTGCATAATTTTAAA